CTCCTTCCCCCTCACTGTTTGGCTCCCAACACAGAAGGCACATGTCCTTTGGGTTCTTGACCTGCCACGGTGGAGCAGAGCAACACCCTCCTACATTCTCAGTGCCTTACCTCTATTAATGCATCCTTAGGTTGCTTCGGTGTCCCTGCGGTTCTGTGGTGATTAATTATGAGTTTATGCCAACTAAGCCCCTGTATATTTTCCTCGTTGGCCTCTTTCTCCTACTTCTTCATTGTTTGCTTGATTTAAACACTAAAACATGGACGTTCAGCTTCATCTCTTTACATTTCAACCTGTTACATAAGTGTGACTGCTCCAGCTTTTTGAGGTCCATTGGATACTTATTCTCGATACATTTGCTGTCCTCAATATTTTCTGAATGGTTTTGACCCATCCAGTGGCTTTCACGCATCCAGGTCATTTACCTGCCCCTTTTCCCCGGGAGGGTGGTTGTGGAGACCCCCTGACAGTCTTTATTGCAGACCTTCTTACGAAGCATCCGCCTGACTTTTGAGGGGGACCCGAAAGCAGGAGCTTTTGGCCACCTTCTTGTTTCTGCGAGGGAAAGCTGGCCACGTGGCCACCGTCCTCTCGCACACTCAGGTGACTCTCCCAGGGCCTGACGGCGGGAGAGAGGTACTCGAGAACCGTCAGTCTTCCTGGAAACTGGGGTTTAGGATCCGTGTGAGTTTCCCGTGGCTGCCACAACACGTTACCACCAATTTGGTGGCTTAAAACACCAGAAATGTATTCTCCCCCGGTTCTGGAGGCCGGAAGTCCCAAACCAAGGTGTCAGCAGAGTCAGTCTCTGTGGCGGCTCTGAGGGAGAATCTGTTCCATGCCTCTCCCCCGGCTTCTGGTGGCTTCCGGCAGCCCCAGGTGTTCGTTCCTGTGCAGACGCGTGTCTCGCCTCTCCGCCGCCTCTGCCTTCACGTGGCCGTCTCCCCCGTGTCCGTGTCCTCTCCTCTCCGCACGAGGACACCAGTCGCTGGATTTAGGACCCATTCCAAATCTTATTTCCAAATAGATGCCATTCATAGGATGGGGTTGGGACATGGACGTGTCTTTTGGGGAATCTACAGAATGCAAATAGGAGGGTGGCCATTGTTATGGCGAATAAAGTTCCAACTCAGATTTTTGCCAATAAAGTGTGGCATGAAGGACTTGTCCTTACAGACACGCATCCCAGCATGCATGTGGCTCTAGGGAATCCTGAGGCCCACCGCCCATCCCGCGGGCAGATCCAGAGTCCCCGGGGAGACCTGAGGGGCCGGGGACGTCATCCCTCGTTCTGGCCTGGTTCTCAAAGGCTGAAAACCTGACCCACAGGTGGTGGGGTCCTGAGTTTGTTTTGTGTCACCCCACACAGACGGAAGTCGGTGTCTCAGCTGAGCGGGGCTGGGCTTCCCTGGTTGGAACACTGGACACGTCCTGCTGTCCCTGAAACCCCTCCATGGTCTCGAAAGAATTATGTGGAATCAGCAGATTCTTCACAAAGTTACTTTATATTTAAAACTGAGGCAGCTTTAGGGCTCTTGTTTTATTTATGAGCCAAATGTCTACGAGAAATGTTATTACCACAAAATAAACTCTCAGTATGGAAAGCTTAAGTTTTTGGGTTTTTAGTGGTAATTTATGAGCCAGAATTCCAGTTCCGCCAAGGAGTTTGGGGAGTTCCGTGGGAGTCCTTGGTAAGAACTCTGGACTTGGAATTCTAATTAAGCGCAGATTGTGATGATTGTTTCAAAGGCATCTAGTAATGTCCACAGGCATTATTTCTTGGGCTGAGCCGTATCGAATGGGCTGATAGGAAGTGTATGAGCCAGGCGGGACACCCCGTCAGACCCACTGCACGGAGTCCCCTCGGCACATACAGCGAACTGCGCTTGGCGGTCCGTGCACCTCTCGATTTGACATCCATCCATCCACCAGCCTTTTAGGTTATACTAGCTGTGGTTGACCCTGCGGTAGAGGGTGCCATGTTTCAGTCCTGACGGATATCCTGTTTTCTAAGAGGGAAAACGGCACGGCGCACGTTGGGGACACTGGTAGTGGGCAGATGTAGTGTGTCATCTTGGGTAGTGTACTCGACGAGCACGGACGTCGGGGAGAATCTGCTCACCAGTCACCGAGCAACCTGTGGGCACATCGTAAACATCTCAGGACTTCCCAGAGGTGTCCTCTGTGGATGTTGGCAGTGGACACATTCTAAAGGGCCACGTTGAGGGCACTGTGCCAGCACTGGAGGTGAAGGAGATCTGGTCCCTAAGAAGCGATGCTTGCGTGAGTAATAAGCCTTCGTCCCCCACTGTGACCGGCACCGGCGGTGAGGGGTGCCGCAGAGCGAGCGTGTGCAGCGGACTCGTGCGACAAGGGCACTGCGCTTTCCGCAGGCGTGTGTGCGGCCAGCTCAGCGCTGGGGACCGGCGAGGTGCTGGGCACAGTTGGCAGGGCAGGGGTAACGTCCCCAGGCGCATGGGTACACACGGCGATTAGACGGGCTGAATGGCCTTCAGGGGAAAGAGATGTTGAGGAAACAGAAAATGTCGGAGGAGAGCGAACCGTGATGCCGTGGAGCCAGGGGATCGGTCCCCACAGCCCCGATCCTTCAGCAGCTGCGGCTCGTGCGGGCGAAGGGCGTCGGACACAGCAGCGGGCTCACTTGGAGGTGTGTGTGTTGAAAAGGCAAAAAAAAGAAACGAAGTGGAGATTTTTGAAAACCGAAAAAGGGGTAGAGACTGTCTTTGTAAGCAGAATTGGAGAAGAAGGCCGAGGAAGCTCACTGCTGGGAACTTCTATTAAAGAAGAAAATTGCTGGGTGACAATGGAACAGATCGCGTTGTATCAGGCTGCAGGATACTGTCTTGTCTACTTTTATGGATGCTCAAAATTCCCCCAAATTAAACGATTCAAAAAATGCCATGATAATAGTATATTATCTGATCCCATCTGATATAATCTGACACATCTCTTTTTTAAAAATATAAAATATGCAGATATATGCTTGAGTATGCACCAAGAATTTCTGGAAGGATATATAAGAAACGGATGATAATGGTGGCCTCTGGGGAGTGGGACTGTGAGTTAGGACCGCTGGAGAAGTCGAGAAAGGGTCCTAAGGGAAGGGTTTGCTTATTACATGGTTATAACGTGTTTTGGTTTATTTTTAGTTTGTCTTATAAAACAAAAGAAATAGCCCATGGTTAAAAAAACTCTGCGTCATGTGCAAAGTCCAATAAAATATATTTGCAGAGGTCTTGAGCAAAGAAAGAAAGAAAATAGAGAAAGAAACTATTCTGACAGCCGTTCGAGAACGGTAAGGCCGACTTTGTGGCATTCACGTGGGGACAGCTGCGATGGGGCTTTGCAGGGACGGAGACTTGGGCGTGTCAGCCGATGGAAAATTACTAAGAGGAAACGTGAGGGGTGAGGGGGATTCTGGCTAAACCCACCCGACAGGCTTCTTGCTGCGGTTCGGTTGGGGTGACCGGACGTCGCCTGGGCAACTGCGGGGGACGAGCCCAGTCGGATACAGAGAGGGAGAATTCTGGCTACAATCGGGCAGGGCAAATTCAGACTCAGAGAAGAAGGGTCAGAGGGGCCTGGGTCAAGTTTGGTCAAGGAGAGACTGTCAGTTCCCGTTTGAAAGCACCGTTACATGCAGGCCTGCGGGTGTCCCCGGGCAGGTGTGCGGGGGTTTTTACATTGTGTTAAAGAATAAGTCTCTACCAATCTAAGGAGAGACATTTCGTAATGATTTTTGTAACGTTCAAGCGTCTGTGAAAGGGCCAGAAATTTCACGTGGAATCGTGATACCGTGAGAGCGACAGGTGTTCTCGTGGCCTCCTGCGGAGGAGGGAGGACCGGGAAGGAGAGTAACATTTTCCTGGCCTCTCTGCTGTCGTAGGGTTTCGGGTGAGCGGTGTTTCAGAGTCACTGTTACCGTGAAAACGGCTGTGGCCCGAGTGGCTAGAAAGAACAAAGGAAACGGGTGGTTGTCTGGGGCCAGCGTAGACACGTCCGAGTCCCGGAGAGCCTGTGAGCGGGGCTGGTGCATGCAGGGGAGCAGGGAAATGGCCCATCTGCAAGGGAACACAGAGCAATGGAGGATTTTTCATGAACGAAACTAGATAAGGTCATTCATTGCACGTTGATTTTCATCGTCGTCCAAACGGGGCGCCATTTCCCATCCGCCGGCGGTAAAATTATCTGCTTATTTTATTCACAGGTTGTACTCAGACTATCTCTACTTTGCAAGTTCGAATAAATCTGCAGACGACTTCCATGAAAAAGTGGCAGAAGCTCTGCAGCTGTTTGAAAGTTGCATGCTTGACTATTCACTGCGTGCCTGCGTCTACAACAACAGCCTCAACAATGCCATGCCTGTGAGTACCCTGGCGCCGGCCCTCACTGAACGGGTGACATTGTAACGATTATGCAAGTGGGGTCGTGGTGGGGGGTTTTAGCATATAAACACGGAGAGGCGTTTTAACGTGCAAATGCTTCTCCCCCGTGCCTTCGAGCAGTGGCTAATGCAAAAACAAATTTTCATGGATGTAGAAGTGTAAAAATTGATGCACCCGCTTTCTTCCCTGCTGACCCCCCAGTTACAGTGCCCTCCCCACCCTCCGCGGGAGGAGAGGGCGCATTTAGGAAGATTACTGCCTAGCGAGGCTCTGAGAACACACTGTGCCGTTGGGACTGGTGGCCGCCAGGACACCCAGCTCGCAAATTGTCTTCACATTCTCTCCGATGGTGGACTGTTTTGTTGGTTTTAAAAATTACCCACCGGTGACTTTCAATGCTTCTTTGACAGGGTCTCAGTGGAAACAATTTTCTTTCCTTTTTGCCTTCAGGAATATAGCATATATTTCTTGTCTTTTTTTTTTTTTTTAATGCAAAAGAAGCTGTTAATAGTGAATTTAGCATTTGTGAATAGGGGATGGTTTTCCAACCCTATGTAGCACTCTGGGTTCTTCTAAGTGCTTTTTCAGCGGGTTTGGTGCCCTGGGTAAGCCTCCCACAGTGAGGCGAATGCTGTTACCTGCCCTGGGGGGTGGTGCACAAGCCTTGCTCTGCTGGACATGCCACGTGATAAGGCCCAGACAGATCTGCTTGAGGTAGAGACTTGGAATCCCCAGGGGTGGTGGGGTTCGAGGTCCACAGGTTTTGCCCCCTCTCCTTTGCTCTGAAGGCGTCTCATCTGGAAGGCAGGGCGCTAGCACAGGCAGGATCTACAGAGGCAGCAGGTGGGACTCCAGGCTGTGCTGCTGGAGCTTGTAGTTTGGCAGGGAAGACGCAGCACGGGCACAGGTAAGCACAGAATCCGGTCGGTGGTGCCGGACAGAAGGAGCGGCCTTTGGAGCCAGACGGGGATGCGGGTTCAGTTCCCAGCTCAGGCATTTACTAACTGTGACTCTGGGCAGCTGTCTTAGCTTCTCTGAGACTCAGTGCTTCATTGTGAAATGGGGGTGACAATACTGCTTTACCAGGCCGTCGTGTTGGTTAAAAAGGGGTCGTT